AGATTACGTTACTCAGAATTGACAAAAATGTATTTGCAGAGATGCCTGAACCCGCCAGGAAAAAAGAAATCCAAAAAAAAAAAAGCCATTCAAGTTTTCGAAAAATCGGCCGCCTAGGCGGGCTAGGCGGGTTCTTTATTTTATTTTATTTATAAATAGTATAGCCGCCCGGCCGTGACAATGAAGCCTTTGGAAGATGAAGATAAATGGGGTATGTTGCCCGTTGGTTGACGGCAAGTTGGAGAGCTGCCAGCCTGTGGAATCCGAGGGCATTGTCCCAGCTTGAAAAAAGCCATTGGTGTGTGATCTCTAGATAATAGAGGCCTGAACATAATAAGATCTCATCTCTATATAAGAAATCGGAAGGTAGCAGGAGGAACCCTATGAGGGTTCATGAAATGCATATTTACTTGAGTTAAACATTACAGTCAATTTGATGAAAATTAAATTGCTTAATGTCTCAAAGGAGAATACATCTTCAAGCATCTTACTTTGCCGCTGCAGATGCATAACTTACGCTGATGTCCCTCATAGTTTTGCACTGACTCGACTGCTCATATAGGAGAAAATTGATCTGTATGCTCGTTGAACAGTTCTTCAACATCTGAATCCATTGAAATATGATTGAAAGGGATGAAAAAATAATCAAATCCAATATTCTAGATGCAGTTAACTGAAGAGCTGGGGTCAAACTCATGAGCAATGAAAAAGAACCATTTTGCACTCTAGTTAAACTAAGTTTAATTCTTCAAAAAATGACCCTCACATTTTTCCTCTCAACCTGATTTGATGTCTCCAATATGTCAATATGAAATAGAAATAACAAGGATATCTTTAGAACCTTCGTCCTCATGAACTCAATAAATAGCATCACCGTCAACATCGAAAAGAAAAAAACACATAAATTCAGAATTACCAACGGATAATGAAATATTGTTAATTAAATTTAGTGATAATCTGAATGTTTAATCAATTAAAGGCAAGAGAACAAAGGAAATTTCCATACTGTAAGATTAGTGCTGACTGCTACCATTCCATATGCTTTGCAACTGCATCAGGCCTGAAATTGTTACGCTCAATCATGAGAAAGAGAGAGGGGCAGGCAGATCTTCAAAACTTACATTTTATCTGACAAACTCAATGATTAACTATGAAGACATAATAAACCTTCACTCCATCATACCATGTTGAGGACTAAATTATTCAATTATAAAATTACTAAGCTATTCCAAATATGATTCATTCCCGCCCACTCCCAAGCTCATTCACGGTTGTTTAATTAACCCAAAGATTATTAAGCAAAAATCCTGAACTGAAACAACGTGTTCATATACTTGAAGAAGTGCTAGCAGTGCACTAACCCGAGAGAAGATGAAATCCATTCCCTAAGGGTTCAAACATTCAACATAGTTTCAGCCGTTGTAAAGGTCTTCGAAACTACCACAACTGCAAATATCAGAAATGGAATACTGCCACTCCTTATGGGCCATGTTAGTGGATTTTTACAGAATGCATCTGATCCCTTAACCCAACTTCCAAGACTACAACCAAATATTTACACAGAGAATGCATCTAACATAGTCTCTGAATATGGGCTATGTTTCTTCAACCACCACAACTACAACCAAACACACAGAATACAGATTGCTTTCAAAAATAAAAAAAAAACAAAGAAAATTTGAAAGCATAAGCAAAAGCATGCCATGTCCTAAAATCCTATGTGCCGTATCAAATACAAAATGCTTCTCTACATGTCTTTAACAGATGAATGCATCCCTCCTTCAAGAACTATGCCACTGAAATAAACTCATGAACACAGACAATCTCATTGTTCCAATCAGGTAGGTCCTCAAATGAAGGAGCTAAAAGAAAGCTAATCCGCAATGTTTGACAGCAGTAGTGGGAAATCACTTCAAAAGCCTCAAGACATGGATTCATACCATTAGCATCTTACCGGCTCTTAATTCATTGATATAGAGAACTGGAAAATAATCAATTAAAAATTGATACGCAAGTACTTACAAATGCAGTTGCCTCCCCCTTGCTGTTTCGATAGCCTCTGGATCTACAAAATGTAATCAAACCAGTGAACACTACCCAAAGTTTATTCCAAAGCAAGCTTAATCATTTTCACAAGGAAACTCACACTAAATAGCAAACAAGACTGCAAAATAGAGTTATAAATTGACAAACTGGAAAGTTAGGACCTAAGAAGCTGCCACCGATACCAACAGCAATGACATCCTTCAGGGCTTTTCCTGTGGTGCCAACCGATACAATCCCCACTCAGACGAGGTAGTTTGTTTGTTCTTGTAAAAAAAAATAATAATAATAATCATGCTCGATGTTGTGATGAAGCAAACCCGAAAAGTTTGTCTATATATATATAATTATTTTTATTTTTATTTTTATTTTTATAAATAAAATAAATAGTATAGCCGATCGGCTATACTAGTCTCATAATTGCAATTCTGTCTGAAAATACTCTATTTTCAGAAAAAGAAAAATAATGCCAAGGTGAACAGCCCAACTTCACCATAATGCCAAGGTGAACAGCCCAAGACCAATATGTCTCACACCTAAGAAGGTTTCCATAGCAACCAATTGCTTTAGAGCCCTGCTTAGTTACAAGGTCATGCTACTAGGCTCGGCAATTTGAAGTGTTATGTAAGTCCCTATAACCTTTGTGTGGTCACTTGTTTTACCGACGTGGGACTCTGTATCATCAGGAAACTAGAAATCTGCTCCAAACTCTTTAAAAAATTTGTCAATAACTCTCTCATAGCCGCTCCTTCTTGCTTCCCCTCTCTATTTCATCGTTTTATGTTCCTAGCCCTAGGGCAGCAGCCATCGTCATCGCCACGAGCCAACACTACCAGCAGCTGCCATCGCCACCATCCAAAGTAAGTAGCAACGATGTCTCTTTACATTGATTTTGAGTGTAAGTTCTGATGATGGGCTTCTGTAATGAAAATTAATAAATTATACAAGACCACACAAAAGAAAGTTGTAAAGAGAATGGGCGGTGCCTGTACTTATTTTAGTTGGAAATATTTGCACAAGCTATAAATTGTTACTTAGCTTTTACAGAACACTCATGTGCTTAAGTTTGGCGGTGCCTATAGTTTTCTGTTTTATGCTTGTTCAACAAAGATTGCACAAGTATTTCCTTTGAGGGTAGTATGTTTTATTAGGAGCAATGTAAAGCTTTCCTGCACAAGAATGATTGTCTTGTTTTGGTGCCGCTTTTGTAATGGTGGTGATTACACAATATAGCATGGCTCCCACGACTTCTTAGAGCTCCATACTATGTTTTAGTTTTGAATGAATCTTAGTTTAAATGGTTCAGAGTATATAGATTTTTGTTTGTGAAGTTTTGTCATCATTTAATAAATGTCTCATGATTAGGTTTAACTCAAGAAAATGTTTATTAATTAGGATTTGATACGATTAATAAGGTAAAAAAAATGAAGGAAAAACCGAAGTATAGCCGCGCGGATATACTATTTGTTTTAAAAAATTAAAAACAGCGTAGAGCCGGGCGGCTAGACTAATTTTAAAAAATCGGGTTTAACCGTGCGGCTATACGATTTCTTTTAAAAATTTTCGCAAAACCCAGTATAGCCGCGCGGCTATTTATGCAGTAAAAATTGCATAGCCGAGCGGCTATACTATTTCTTTTAAAAAAAATAATAAACCGAGTATAGCTGGGTGGCTATACTATTTCTTAAACCGAGTATAGCCGGATTATAGCCAGACCAAGTTCAAAGAAAAGAACGGTTCTGGACTGAACTATTTGGGTCTGTTCAGTCGTTCGATCAACCAAACTATGATCAAATTTTCTCAGTGAGTAAACAGAAAATACAGAAAATTACAAATTCAAGAAAAAAGAGAGAGAGAGAGAGAGAACAAAATCAAGGAGACAAATTTTCATGAGGTTAAAAAGAAAAAAAATGAAAATAGAAGAGAGAAAGAAAGACCTGTCGGCAAAGATCGGCGAACCGGAACTTGGTTTCGATTTGTTTGGCTGTGTTAGGAGTCTTGTTATAGTTGACAAGACTCAGCCGCCGTTTGAGCCCCCCGGGAAGTCTTGGAGGCGAGGAGAACGACGCCATTTCTTTCAAAAAAAAAATTAGAAAAACCGAGTATAGCCGAGCGGCGATACTATTTCTTTTTAAAAAAAAATAGCAAAACCGGGTATAGCCGAGCGGCTATACTATTTCTTTATAAAAAAATTAGCAAAATCTAGCAAAACCTGGTATAGCCGTTCGGCTATACGGGTTTAAAAACTGAGTATAGCCGTCCGGCTTAACTACACTGTTCTTTAAAAAAAAATTAAAAAACCGCGTGTAGCCAAGACTGCAAAATCTTAATCATTTTCACAAGGAAACTCACACTAAATAGTAAACAAGACTGCAAAATATATGCATGGAAAGAATCATCTAAACCTGTTTGAAGAGGACCTGAGAAGCTGCCACCGATACCAACAGCTATATTATCTTGCATCTCTCTGGGAGTTTTTGATTTACTCTTTTTGCCCATCTTATGGTACTGAGAATTGCCAAAATGTACTTGCAGAGATGCTAGACCCTCCAGGAATAAAGAAATCTGAAGAAAAAAAACTAAGTCTTAAAAAAAAGAATGCCATTCAAGTTTCGAAAAATCAGCGGGCTAGGCGGTTCCATTTTTAAAATAAATATAAAAAAAATTAATTAATTTTTTATTTATTTGTTATAAATAAAATAAACAGTATAGCCGCTCGGCTATACTATATTTAAGTTTCATAATTGCAATTCTGTCTGAAGGTACTCTATCTTTCAGAAAAAGAAAAATAAATAATTCAATATGAGGTCTCTCAATTCTGAGACTGATTTATAGTTTTTCTCTGCCTATGCACTGGGAGCATATAAGCATGGGAATAGCTAATATTTAAGTTTTAGATTTCGGCATTAAAATGTTTTGGTAGCTTCTCATTATATCAAGGCTGTTCTACACAAATTGAGGTGATGCCATTTTGGTGTTAGCATCAAATGGCATTCATTTTCTCCGGAAATGGCCACAGGATCTTTAATTCCAGTGGAGTGGTAAAGAATGACATGCTTTATAATTCTTTCCTATTAGATTTCTCCTCACTTTCCTTTCGAATTGAAACCGAAGCGACAGTTGGTCATTTGATTATGATGATATTGATTGAATGCAGGCAACTCCCAAGGTTCACCCTAATTTATGGAAACCAAGGAGTGGCTTAGAGCTGATGAACAATGACCTTCCCAGCACCAACCCTGAAGACTCTATGTCCTGCTTTGATTTGTCCAAGAATGAAAAATATCTCATATCAGCAACAGGAGGGGTGATCTCCATTTTTGACATGACAACATTTAAGATAAACCCAACACATAGTATTCTTGAAATTTTCTTTTCCCAGCCAAAACTTCCCAAATCTTGTTTGTCAATATGCTTAGGTTCTGTTTGCAAATTTCTCATGCTCTAACTCATTGTACTCATAAAAATCTGTTGCGTAAAAACGTATACGAAGAAGAAAGTCAGGCCACCGCCACCTGCGGCAACATGTCTTGCTTTTCACTCCCGAGATGATGGTATAGTTGCTATTGGCATGGAAAATTCCACCATTGTAATATACAATCTCCACTCAGACAAGGAAATTTGTTTGTTCTTGCCAAAAAACAAATCATGCTCGATGTTGTGATGAAGCAAACCCGAAAAGTTTGTCATTGCCTTGATTTAAATATTTTGCAGGTTACAAGGAAGCTTGAGGGTCACTCCAAAAGAGTCACTAGCCTTGCCTTCTCGAACACTCTGAATGTACTAGTTTCTTCTGGTGCTGATGCATATTGGAAACTACAATATTACTTTCAGACATGGCTTCTACTCTAATGTGACTTCTGTTATTTAACGACGTTTTTTTGGCCCTGCAGATTTTTGTGTGGGAAAAACAGAGAAGCAAATTGTTGCAGATTCCAGATGGGAAGGAGTTGAGATCATTGTCAGATACTTACATCCAAATTCACCAGAATGAGCTGCACCTCCTTGCCATAAACAAGAATCACCTTGCAGTATATGAAGTGAAAGCTCTAGCATGTGTTTAGGAGGAGGGGAGGCTACCCCATCCCAAAGTTAGGGCATACCAAGGCCTCTTTGAGGAACCATTTGGCTTTTTAATTATTCACTTGATTAAAAACAAAAGGCACCCAAAAAGGGATCAGGCCACTCAATGATTCACCATGAATTTTTTTTTTTCATACAAAGATGTAGTCATCACCCCTTCACAAGTATATGATACTAACCTATACAAATTGTGTATCAATTTTTACTTTGCCTTGCATTGCAAATTCTCAAAAAGATAAGGTTCTTTTTTAAAATTCTGCAAGCTAAGTATTCTTCAACTGGTCACAGTATCTCTAGGAGGTTTTCCCTTTGGAATGACCTTCCGGTAGTTACAACATCACAAATGTAAAACAGAGATGATAGGCCTGCCACCTTTTTGGCTTTGACCTGCAATCATCTCCTGAATTGCTTTTATATGTGTTGTTGCATAAGGAACCTGTTGTGTCAAACTTTTCACATGGACACTCTACCATCCTCGCCAAAACAAAACTAAGCATGGCACATCATTGTGCTGTGGTGTTTTTGTGTGCCTTGCAAATTCTCCAATTTGCATAAAGAAAACGACCCACGAACATAACCAACAGAGGGGATAAAAGATCAAGAATCCTGAAAATTCCAAGAAACGGATCTCCTTGTAGAAAGGTCCTACTGCTGAAGCTGCAAAATGCATACATCATGTGATTAACTTGCATATCAGATGTAAACATCAACTAATTTGGCATGCAAAGTAAGGCAAAAAGTAAATGAAATCAGCAAAAGACAATGTCCATGGATGCATCTAACCAAACATTAGCTTATTTGTTTTGGTTGTCAAATGGCTGCAGCATTCCTAAGTTATTACATTCATTTGGCTCTTTACAGATCAGGTCAGTATTAAAATTCCATTACTGATCATTTCGGTTCATCATCATATCACATTAGTCCCACCAGTTTTAACTCAAACCTACATTGCCAGAAGACAAAATTATGAATAAAGATGCTTAATATCTTATTAACGCAGCAAAGAATCATAATTTCTTATAAACTCTGAGCCTGCATTCTATATGAGTAACTAACACTGCCAAAACCATAAAAAACAAACATCATAATGCATTAAGTCACCAAACATACATGCCAACTAAAAAACAGGAAAGAAAAAAAATATATATAAATCCTACTGCTTGTAACTTACATGACAAGGATGGGAAAGGTGATGGAGAAATCAACTCTTGTTCACTTCTCTTGTTTCCTGGACTCGGAGCATTGGACACTACAGGTGCAGGTGACACATGGGGGGACAATTGAGATGAGGGACTCGTATCACCAACAGGAGGGATGATCTCCATTTTTGATTTGTCCAAGAATGATTCATATCTCATATCACCAACAGGAGGGATGATCTCCATTTTAGGCATGACAAGATTTAATGTAAACCCAACACAAATAGTGTTCTTAAAATTTTCTTTTCCCAGCCAAAACTTCCCAAATCTTGTTTGTCAACATGCTTAGGTTCTGTTTGCAAATTTCTCATGATCTAACTCATTGTACTCATAAAAATAGAAAGATGTTTTGTGTATTTTTTATAATATTTTTTTATTGCGCCTATTATATAATTTTTACCCCCCCCCCCCCCCCCCCCCCCCCCCCCCCCAAAAAAAAAGATGGCAAACTCATTGTACTCATCAAAATCTGTTGCGTAAAATTCCACCATTGATGAAGAAAGTCATGCCACCGCCACCTGCGGCAACATGTCTTGCTTTTCACCCCTGAGATGACAGTATAGTTGCTATTGGCATGAACAATTCCACCATTGTAATATACAATCTCCACTCATACAAAACATTAGCTTATTTGTTTTGGTTGTCAAATGTTACATTCATTTGGCTCTTTACAGATCAGGTCAGTACTAAAATTCCATTACTGATTTCGGTTCATCATCATATCACATTTGTCCCACCAGTTTTAACTCGAAGTTTATTCTCAAGTCTCCATTAAGGTTGCACTAACTTTCTTTGGTCTATAGGGAATTAACTTCTCGTAACCGGCATTAGTAAAGCAGGGCAATTTCTACTCTTATCCAACTCATGAGATCAGAAGTCACATAAACTGACTACCAACACCTCAACTACAGAGGGTCCTATTTTCAATTAAGAAAAACCTATATTGCCAGAAGACAAAATTATGAATAAAGATGCTTAATATCTTATTAACACAGCAAAGAATCATAATTTATTATAAACTCTTAACTCTGAGCCTGCATTCTATATGAGTAACTAACACTGCCAAAACCATAAAAAACAAACATCATAATGCATTAAGTCACCAAACATACATGCCAACTAAAAAACAGGAAAGAAAAAAAATATATATAAATCCTACTGCTTGTAACTTACATGACAAGGATGGGAAAGGTGATGGAGAAATCAACTCTTGTGCACTTCCCTTGTTTCCTGGACTCGGAGCATTGGACACTACAGGTGCAGGTGACACATGGGGGGCCAATTGAGATGAGGGACTCGTATCACCAACAGGAGGGATGATCTCACTTTTTGATTTGTCCAAGAATGATTCATATCTCATATCACCAACAGGAGGGATGAATCTCCATTTTAGGCATGACAAGATTTAAGGTAAACCCAACACAAATAGTGTTCTTGAAATTTTCTTTTCCCAGCCAAAACTTCCCAAATCTTGTTTGTCAACATGCTTAGGTTCTGTTTGCAAATTTCTCATGATCTAACTCATTGTACTCATAAAAATCTGTTGCGTAAAAATGCAGACGATGGAGAAAGTCATGCCACCGCCACCTGCCGCCAACATGTCTTCTTCCCCCCACCCCCCCCCCCCCCCCCCCCCCCCCCCCAAAAAAAAAGATGGCAGCATGAACAATTCCACCATTGTAATATACAATCTCCACTCAGACGAGGTAATTTGTTTGTTCTTGTAAAAAAAAAAAAAAAATCATCCTCGATGTTGTGATGAAGCAAACCCAAAAAGTTTGTCATTGCCTTGATTTATAGATTTTGCAGGTTACAAGGAAGCTTGAGGGTCACGCCAAAAGAGTCACAAGCCATGCCTTCTTGAACACTCTGTATGTACTATTTTCTTCTGGTGCTGATGCATATTGGAAACTACAATATTACTTTCAGGCATGGCTTCTACTCTAATGTGACTTCTGTTATTTAACGATCGACGTCGTTTTGGCCATGCAGATTTTTGTGTGGGGCTGGGTGGGAAAAACAGAGAAGCAAATTGTTGCAGATTCCAGATGGGAAGGAGTTGAGATCATTGTCAGATATCCAAATTCATCAGAATGAGCTGCAACTCCTTGTCATAAACAAGACTCACCTTGCAGTATATGAAGTAAAAGAACTAGCATGTGTTAACCATGTCTCTCATGTTGTTTGAGGATACAGATGATTTAAGTCTTGTGTGCTGTATTTCCAGTGGGTTCCAGATTTTTCTGCATCCATTTCCCATGCAACATACTCAGGTGATGGCCAGACGGTATATGGAACTATATGCGTACTTGATGCTTCAGTTCTTGAACTACATTCTCAAATCAATCCCTCCGCTTACCTTCCTCCGGTGAGTGTGATATTTGGTGGCATGCACATTGGAAACTACAATTACTTTCAGACATGGCTTCACCGCTCAATTTAAGAGTGAATTGTTGGGAAGCGCTAACCTTTACGTTGTTCATAAACGGTGAGAAGGAGTGAGTCGCTAAAACCCTAGCTTGAAGTATTTGCAGAGATGCCAGACCCGACAGGAAAAAAGAAATCTAAAAAAAAAAAAAACCCGATTCAAGTTTTCTGAAAAATCGGCCGCCTAGGCGGGTCCTATATTTTTTTTTAAAATAACTAGTGTAGCCGCGCGGCTGTACTGCTTAAATAATATTTTTAAAGAATAAAGCCGCGCAGCGGCACTCTTCTTCTTTTTTTCCCCTAATTTTCCTTGATTGATAAGAGTAATTTAGAGTATTATCCATTACTATTATGCCATTACCCAAGTCTCTATTGTCCCCTTTTGATTTTTTACTTATTACCCATATAAAGAATTTAGCATTTTTCCATTTAATACTTGTATTATACATGTAAGTACGTATTTTTCAATAATACTTCTATTTTCCATACACGTTTTAAAGACTCGATAAAATACATATATTTTAAAAATCAAACATTCAATACACATATTGTACACGTACGTATGTATTTTTCATGTTTAATACACATATTTTTTACAAATTTTTCACATATTATTGAATAAAATATAAGTTTCGAAGATCTGTCTGCTCTCTCTCTTTCTCATGATTAGGCGTAACAATTGGCTTAATACAGTTGCAAAGCATATGATAGCAGTCAGCACTATGCACACACATAAAAGCGATTCCTAAACCCAATTTAAAGATTCGCTACCAAAAATCCAAGAACCCTCTCTATTAGGGGTGGCATTTTAAACCGAAAAACCGCAAAAACCAACCGACAATTTACCGCAATGAAACCGCAATCGCGGTAAACCGAACCGCATTTGCGGTATTAAGAACCGAACCGCATTTGCGGTTGCGGTTGCGGTATTTGATTTTCAAAACTTGCGGTTACCGCAAACCGCAAAGTATAGCCACACGGATGATGAAGTTGAATTTTACAAGGAAATAGAACATATGACAACTTGTAAGTAATTAGTTTTGCATTGCATTTTCCTTTTAGTTTGTAATTTTAATTAACTTTGAATTGGATTTTTCTTTTTTGTTGTAACTTTAATTCATTTTGCTTTGTATTTTCCTTTTGGTTTATAACTTTAAAGGATTTAGAATTGGAATGCTTGAGAAGTTTAAATTTAATTGGAATGCTTGGAATTGTAACTTTAATTTTCTTAGGTTGTGAATGCTTCAGAAGTTGAGAAGATTGTGAATTTATATATGTTTGAGAAATTGAGGTTGTGTATTTATTTAGGTTGTGAATTTATATTTTTGTGAATGCTTGAGAACTCGCGGTTTTAAACCGCTAATTTGCGGTAACCGACCGCATTTTGCGGTTTACCGCATTGCGGTAAACCGCAAAACGCTGTCGGTTTGCGGTTTCAAAAATCACGAAACCGCAAATAGTCGGTCGGTTTGCGGTTTGAGTAAAAATTCGCGGTTACCGAACTGCAACCACCCCTACTCTCTATTGAAGATTCCTTTGGCTGGAGCAGCTGAGCCATTCAAATTTCTTCACTTCCCAAATCTAATATTTTCGAAACCCTAGCTAGCCAGCCGAGTACTACATTCCATTAAAAAAAAAGCCTAATATTACATAATCTCCCATGGGTCCCATTAATAGCCACATTGGATGCCACTTGGTTGCCACTTGGTGATCAATTTTTGTCACTCGTTTGAAATTACTGAACTACCCCTGCCATATCAGCTGAGTTAACAATTTTTCGTTGAAAATTAATAGAATGGGGCAACCTTAGTAAACGGAATGGAAGTTCATGGGGGAAATTGAGCCAGTATAAAAGTCAGATGGTAATATGAGACAATTTGTAAACCACTGGGTATTTGAACATAAGCCTAATAAATAAATACACCTTAGCGATAGCAGATTGATAGCATCATGATGTGTAAAAATCACACCAACAAATTTCTGGTTGTAAACATGGCCGTGAGCTTTTTGGTCAACATCAACACTAATTCTTTTGTCGACGTTGGCGCTTGGGCATTTGCCAACTGAAACCCTGCGTTGGTGCCAAAACATAGACCAAACAAATAGAATTTGTCACCACCACCAAAGCAAGAAAATAAAAGTAGACCTACTAAGGGTAATTTACAGGTTATAGAACGTATGATGAAGTAAAAAATTTAAGCTTTCATGTTGAGTGTAGATAAGTTGGAGAGATGAGCATTTTGTGGGTGCAAATAAAAACTCAAAAAACACTACTAAAACTATTTTGGTTTTTTTTTTTTTTTTTTTTTTTTTTAAAGAAGAAAAGTTTAGGGAGAGGGGAGACTACCCCATCCCAAGGTCAGGGCATATACCAAGGCCTTTTGAGGAACTATTTGGCTTTTTGATTCACTTTGTAATTAAAAACACAAGGCACCCAAAAAAGGATCAGGCCACTCAATGATTCACCATGATATATTTTTTTTCATATAAAGATGTAGTCACCGCCCCTTCACAAGTATACTAACCTATACAAATTGTGTATCAATTTTTACTTTGCCTTGCATTGCAAATGCTCAAAAAGAGCCTGCATATTTTACAATTGATTTCAAGAAAGATAAGGTTCTCTTTGAAAATTCTGCAAGCTAGGTATTCTTCAACTGGTCACACTATCTCTAGGAGGTTTTCCCTTAGGAATGACCGCCCAGTAGTCGCGACATTACAAATGTAAAAGAGAGATGAGAGGCCTGCCACCTTTTTGGCTTTGACCTGCAATCATCTCCTGATTCACTTTTATATGTGTTGTTGCATAAAGAACCTGTTGTGTCAAACTTTTCACATGGGCACTCTACCATCCTCGCCAAAACAAAACTGAGCATGGCACATCATTGTGCTGT